TGAACCGCTTAAACTAAATTTATAGAATTTAGATTTATTCAGATAACCAAGAGTAATTGAAAAACATATAACTAAATTGTATGAATTTATCTTTCACAATAGAACATTTGTTTAAGACTTTTCACGAAAGAAGTTCTTCTTTAGTTCCTAAACATTATCTTGCACTGATAAAATATCTAGGTTTTATCCTTTAACCTTTATGTTAATACATGAAGCAGACATAAGGGTGGAAATAAATCCTCCGTTTTCTTTGCTGTCAAAGGTTGACTCTCCTGTCTTTTCAATGCAAACATCTCGTGAGAAGATTTATTCTCCTTATTAAAATTTTCTGTTCAGTGTAATAAGTTGTGTAACTGTCTTACAGAGAAAAATTTCAAATAACTACTGTGATTTGACTTAAATTTCTGTTTGAATTAAACAGTTGAAGACATTTGCACTTTCAGTTCTCCTTTTAGACAAATTGCTGGAACCTTCCTTAAATGAACACAGATGTAAGAAAGAAAGTGGTTATAGAAGCCTAGTTCTGGGTCTAATATTCATAATGCAAGCCCAGAGAACGTGGTCATTTGTCCTCTCCATGAGTACATATCTATGATTTCTGGATCCTCTAAAGTTAAAAAAAGCAATAAAAATGTAAATGGACTGAATTATATTAAGGGAAAGAATAGGTTATGTGGAATATGATAGAATTCAAATATCTTCACATTTATAAAGAAAGAGTTTTAAGTGATTGAAGCTGGAGCTACTTTTGATACTATTAACAAAACAATCCTCCCTTTATATTTTGCTGGAGTCAAAATGTAAAAATCTATTCCCTTATACTGCACAAATCTTAATAAATTCCAGATTCTTTAATAATTTATGTCATATCAGTCTGGCAATATTGAACATAAGCCAGCCTGTCAATAAGCATTCATTGTGTGCAGATCCCTATATTGGAACTGCGAGGAACAAATAAGTAAGCCCTAATCTCTGGACAGTGATTCTCAAATTTGCACAGAAAGATTTAGCCAAATGGTAGTAGCTAAAGTGCAGATTTCCAGGCCCAACCAATGACTCAGCTTCAGTGGTCTGGGGGTGAGCTCAGAAATTAATAGTAATTTAACAAATGTGTCAGGTTATTCTAATAATGGTACTAATATAAGTTGAGTGTTAGTATTAAATGCTAGCATCTACTGAGCTGTTACTGTGTTCCAAGATAATGCATTTTTATCTCATTTAATCTTTATAACAATTCTATGAGGTAGTAACTATTGTTACCCCATTTTAAATAGTTGTGGCAGTAGATTCCAAGAGAGGTAGTGATGCAGAAGTTCTGTACACTGGACTTTGAGAAACAACAGTGTAGGTGTTCAAAGTTAGACCGGTAATATAAAGGTTGATTGAGAAAGCAGCTGCCTACATTTGGTTTATTTCAAAGTGATTTTTTCATCTTTTTTTAAAAATAGTTTTTCAAATAAAGACATGTAGACATGACATCATTTCTTCTTAAAAGAGAATATAGTGAAGGCCTCAGAAAGAGAATTATGAGTTTTGCAAAATTTAGATGTGTTTTATGCAGACTTTAGAGTTAGAAAGATTGGCAATCTGAGCTGAATTCATATCTTGGGCAATAATTTTGTGTTTTTACTATTTTGTTATTCTTTTTTTCCCGCTTGAAATACCATGATGATCATTTTTAACAAATGCAAAGGTAACTCAAATAATGTGTATTTGTAGTAGGATATTTGATAAATTAATTTCTTTTTACAAACAACCCCTGCCCCTTGCCAAGGGTAATCACACTCCCAATTTCTAACACCTTAGATTAATTTTGCCTGTTTTCAAACTTCATATAAATGGAATTGTAGAGAAGGTATTTTTTCATGTCTGACTTCTTTCTCTTAACACTATGTTTGTAAAATTTATCCATGTTGTTGCCTGTAGATATAATTCATTTATTCCAATTACTGAATAGTGTTCTTTTATATAAATATACTGTAATTTATTCATCCATCCTGTTGAACGACATGGGTTGTTTCCAGTGTTGGACCATTATTAATAGTGCTGCCGTAAACATATTTGCAAATGTTTTTTGGTGAATACAGGTATACGTTTCTCTTGGGTATCTATCAGAAAGTGGGATTACTGAATTATCGGGATGTGTATGTTCAGTTTTTGTAGATACTGTCCAGCAGTTACCCAAAGTGGTTCCACCACTATACACTCTCATTAGCAATGTATGGAAAGTTCTATTTGCTTCACATCATTGCTGACATTTGGCATTGTCTTTTTCATTTTAGTCATTCTGGTTGTTATGCACTGGTATACCATAATGGTTTGATTTGTGTTTCCTTGGTTACTAAAGAAATTGAGCATCTTTTCATATTTTTGTGGACTGTTTGGATATCTCCTTGTATCTATTCAATTTTTTGCCTGTTTTTTCATCAGATGCTGGCTTTTCCTTATTGATTTGTGGCAGTTATTTTTATATTCTATTCCTCTGTCAGATATTTGTATTGCAAATGATTTCTCCCATTCTGCAGCTTGCTTCGTCACTCTCTTTATTAAGTTTTTTTGATGAACAGAGGGTTTTAACTTTATTGTAGGCTTATTTATAATCTTTTTCTTTATGTCCTATTTGAGATATCTTTGACTAAATCATGATCATGACAGTGGTCTTTTTTTAAGTTTTATTGCTTTATTTTTCTATTTACATCTACAATTCATCTGGAATTAATTTCTAATATGGTATAAGTTAGTATTCAAGCATATTTTTTCCATATGTAAATCCATTTG